ATAGCAGAGTTGGAAGGGACCTTGGAGGTCTTCTAGTCCAACCCCCTGACTAGGCAGGAAACCTTATACTGTTTCAGACAAATGGCTATCCAACATCTTCTTTTTTTAAAATATATTTTTATTTTCAAAACAAACATACAAATATAATACAATAGCAGAGTTGGAAGGGACCTTGGAGGTCTTCTAGTCCAACCCCCTGCCTAGGCAGGAAACCTTATACTGTTTCAGACAAATGGCTATCCAACATCTTCTTAAAGACTTCCAGTGTTGGGTAGTTCACAACTTCTGGAGGCAAGCTGTTCCATTGATTAATTGTTCTAATTCTCAGGAAATTTCTCCTCAGTTCTATCTTGCTTCTCTCCTTGATTAGTTTCCACCCATTGCTTCTTGTTCTACCCTCAAGTGCCTTGGAAAATAGGTTGACTCCCTCTTCTTTGTGGCAACCCCTGAGATATCGGAAGACTGCTATCATCTCTCCCCTATTCCTTCTTTTCATTAAATTAGACATACCCAGCTCCTGAAATCGTTGCTCATATGTTTTAGTTTCCAGTCCCCTAATCATCTTTGCTGCTCTTCTCTGCATGGTGGGAACCTACAGTTAATTTCCCCCAAGAAACTGTGGGAATGGATACCTGTCAGAATGGACGTCAATCAAAGATGTAACTAAACTGAAACATTTCGCATTTCCCCAACAATTTACGTTCGGCTTGATTTATGGACTGGCTCCAACTCGGAGGGATGCGCTGCGCCTAATTATCAGCATTTGCAGCCTGCTTTGGTTTTATAGATCAAATAAAAGGACAGCGACTTACAGCAATGGGAGATTCTGTGCGCATGGCAGGCGATGCACGGTGTTGACGCTGTGAAATATGTCTCCTTCTTTGACACTCCTGTAATAGTGATGCTCTTCACTTTCCTTGTATCCACGGGGTTTATGGTCCATAAAGTTTAATAACAAATTTAACAGCTGAACAGTGAACACGCCATGGTAAGAGGTGGTTTGTCATATAAAAATAGGACCTGGCTTTCAGCGCAGACCAGCCTGTTTTCATCCTTGTTTATGTAAAGATAGCGCGAGAAAAGGTCACACTTAAGACCAGTGAACAATTTCAAACTATTAAACAAGCAGAGAGCAGGGACAGCTTTGTTAAACCACTGGATCTTTGACCACACATGGGAGGAAGGACAAAAATTTAGCTAGCAGTGCTGGCAGAGGACAGAGGTCATGAAGATTCTGAGCAGAGGAACTAGTATTTTAGGAAGGAGAGGAAAACTTGGGCTCTTGTTATCACAGTTTACAGCCTTTTTCCCACCCCATCTGATTGGCTGATTTTTATTTTGTTTTGTTACTTGGAGTCTGGAAAAATAATGCTTTCTGTAAACTGGAATGCATCTTTACACCTGTATAGAACCTCTGCTTATAAGAGTATCTGAGACTTCGGTGTGCCCAGCTTCATTTAACAAGACAAACTTATAACCAGAGGCATTTCTAAATAAAAGCATTGGAAATAAATGGTGGAATTACTGCAGAGGAAGATTTTGGCCAGCTGATTAACTGAAGTTATAGATCATTCTATTTGGGGATATAAAGGTAAAGGTTCCTCTTGCACATATGTGCTAGTCGTTCCCGACTCCAGGGGGCGGTGCTCATCTCCATTTCAAAGCCGAAGAACCAGCACTGTCTGAAGGCGTCTCCATGGTCATGTGGCTGCATGGCTAAATACCAAAGGCGCACGGAACGCTGTTACCTTCCCATCAAAGGTGGTTCCTATTTTTCTATTTCCATTTTACATGCTTTCGAACTGCTAGGTTGGCAGAAGCTCACTCCGTTACACGCCACTAGGAATTTGAACCGCTAACTGCCAATCTTTCTGATCAACAAACTCAGCGTCTTAGCCACTGATCCACCGTGTCCCTTATTTGGGGATATAGTAACAGAGAAATTAAAGGGGAACCATGGAAGGTTTTACAGTAAGAATGAAAATCCTGTACAGGACCTGAGCCTAGTCAGAGAGGAACCTAACAAGGCCAGAATACTAGGTGGTTAATTTTGGATGGTTGTGAACCCATGAAGCTGGGACAAGGCAAGACAAAATATGCATTGTTCTGTCTTTGGTCCAGAAGACCTTTCCCTATTAATATGATTTTTCCTTGTCTTCTAAATCTAAAAACAGCCATTATTATATTATTCTCAAGTGTGACCCGACAAATGCGCGCACGTCAAAAGCGCGCCGATGAAACCCCAGCAAAAAACCTGCGACGTCATACACACACCCACAACAACGCGCCGACAAAACTGCGCCCACAAAAGCGTGATTTCAGTTAAGGTAAGGGTTAGGTTCAGGGTTCTGTTTAGTGTTAGGTTTAGTGTTAGGTTTAGTGTTAGGTTTAGGTTTAGGGTTAGGGTTATTCGGTTGTTATTACTTGTTCGTTGAAGGTGCGCTTTTGTTAGCACGCTGTTGTCGGCGCGCTTCTGCGCTCATTCATCGCTGCGATTTCAAACTCACGTTTTCTCACCGC